TTTCTTAAACTTCTTAAATTTTCATTTCTTTTTAGATGCTAATGACACTTTGTATGTTATTAGTTATTGGCATATCTTATATAGATTTTTATACTGATTTCTATTAATGTATGTAAAAGGAGGATTACTTTCTTATAAATGTCAAAACATTTTGTGATTTAATGTTTATTTCTATCATTTTTATTTTCGTAATGTAAGAACTATTATAATTGACTTGTGTTGACTTTTTATTTAACTTGCTTTTGATTAATTGGATTCAATGTCAATTAAGTCGACATTGATTTGGATCAGTTCTCATTTGATCAACTGAATGTTGATTTTGTCATGAGTAGGGGTGTAAATGAGCCGCGCTTGAGTGAGCCCAGGCTCAGCTTGTGTTTGATTCATTTAACAATATGTTTGTTCATGTTTAACTCGTTAATATATCGAGCCCAAACATTTGTTCATGTTAGGCTCTTTTGCTTAGCGAGCCGAACACAAGCTGTTCCTGGACGAGTCATTTTGACATCCCTAGTCACACAACCGTAGGATGTTAAGGGTAGGGACTAGATTTAAATCATACTATTTATATTAAAATATTTTTTTAAATAGAATTTAATATATTTTTATTATATTTTTTTAATTAATAATTTTGATTGATTATGAATCTTTGTAGACTTGTAGTCAATTAAATTATTTAAAAATAAGACTCATCAATTATATATATATCGAGTCAAAACGAGACGAGCATGAATGAATAAATCTTTGTTCATGTTTAGCTTTTTTAATATATTAAGTGCAAAAAAGGTTAATTTTTGGCTCGTCTGCCTACCGAGGGAATCAAACATGAGCTACTTAATGAGCTGAACACGAGCTGTTCACAACAACGCGCCTTTTTGACAAGCCTAGCCAAAATACCCAAAGCTCGCTTCAAGCAAATGCATATTATGTAGTAATTCGCTTGATTATTGTAATAAAATTCAAGAAGATAACAAAGTTATAATTATTTTCTTAACCAAATTTGATATGGTTAGTGCTCTTGACTCGCGGTAAAAAGTTAAAAAAAATAGTCTTTCGTTACTGCCTTAGTCAGATCCTAATAATTGGGTAGAAGGAAATTAATATATGGCGCAACTATATAGGCTTGCAATAAAGTAAATTAAAGCTTTAAGAGAATATTTGAGCTTGTATGATAAATGATCATTGCAACAAGGGCGATTTTTGAGCAAAATGTTTAGTCGGGTTTTCTCTCATGACTTTGATCACAAACTACAAATAATGAGTTTTGGGGCTCGTGTGATCTATAGCTTTGGGGCCATGCCTCACACATGCATTATAAGATGACAATTTATAATCATTAGTGTTTGATTTATTGTGAAAAATTCTATAGGAATAATTGATGTTGTCAGGATAGCTTTGTTAGGATTAATGCCCTTGTTACAATTGGTTAATGATATTTTTACAATTAATGGACGAGAGAAGGCTCCTTCAGGAGGCTATGGAATCTCATCAACATATGGCTTGAAGTGAAGGAGTAACTACTTGGCCACATGAGAGTAGTTGCACATCTACTATAAAATGGCAAGTGATTCACTAGGCATATGTCGGAATCATCTTAACTTGGGAGGAGGTATCAACTCACTACGGATGCATTGATGTTGATATAGTCCAACCGGGAAAACAAAGAGCTCTTAGGAGCAGCACTTTTGTGACAAATGTGGAGATTCCTACTTGACTTTAATGAAAGTGAGGCCTTAAAAAGAAAAAGGCAACTGCTAGGTTACATAGGATTGATTGCATGTTCTACAAAAATAAAAAATAAAAAATAAAAAAAATAAAAAGGCCATCAATCCACCAAGACAAGTAGTAATATCACTTAAAACTAGTGGAAGCATTGACCTGCCAGTTATGCGCTAACCGTGCTACAATCATGCAAAAACATGATACCTCCAAGTAATGATATAATAATGTTACGACATTTGCCATAGGCTACCGTGATTTGGTTAAGCATGATCATTAACTTCTCTACTCTATTTATGATATGATTAGATTGGCCTTGGAACATTGGGTAATGCTAGCTCGCCTCTTACATTCAAGCCCACGTGACTTACATAGCCTCTTTCTATTTCGTGTTTTTCATTTTGATATGGGCAAACCAAAATCAAATCTCTTTCATTCGCTTCACCATTGCAATCAAGTAAGTGAGAGCTTTGTTATTTTGATATATTTAGGCTGACAATGGAGTTGTGCTCCATCATATATGCATAAGCCAATTTAGTTATCACAACCTCCTCGTGTCATATCCTTGCTGTCTCAATATAGTTAAGCAAATATCAAATATTTCTTTCTTCTACTTTGATGCCATGATAGTTAGGTCAAGTGTTCATTCTCAGTTGATCGTATTCTTAATGTCTTAGAGGGAAATGAATATATTATGCATTTCAATTGCTTGAAATGAAATTAGCTAATGTTTGTAGGGAGAAAAGAAACATACGGGCTTGCAAGACTATGGTCATAATCACAAGTTGCAAGCTTTGGGCTCAATTTAAATAACTTTTAGGGCCAAGCCCCGCAAGACTACAATCCCAAATAACAAAAATTGAGCTTTGGGACTACAGGTGATGAGGTGAGTTGACCTTTTGAGATCAGTCATTACACATTGTGTGAGGTAAATCCTAACCGTGTTAGGAATGAGCAAGTTAGGGTGAAAAAGGTTTGTTTGGGTAAATGATAGATGATTCCATACAACCATAGATGGGAGAATGCTTTTCTAGGAGGCAACATGACTTCATCAAAGTGATGCACACTAAGTTAAATAACAACTTGATCATGCGTGATGGACAGGCATGTTGTGATGAAATGACTATTGATCCCCTGAAGGTAGTGACGAATCATGTTGACCTATGAGCATGTATCAACTAACTAGGGATGCTTTGACATAGATGCAATCAAAACTAAGGGAAAATGGATACCTTTAAGAAAAAAGAGCTATTCTTGCAATAAAGAAGAAAAGCCTCCTCTGGGGGCTATGTGACTTCATCAAAGATAAGGCCATAAAGTCAAGGAATAACTAATTAGTCTTTTGGCACTATGTTTACTTTGACAAAGCGGCCACCAACTTACTATGGTCGATAGCAACAACATTGCGACTTGGGAGAATGCATCAACTCATTGGAGTTGCATTGAATCTATTGCAATTAATTCTTAAAAAAATAGAGAGCTCATAATAGGGCTTTCCTGAGAATGGTTGAGAGAAGGATCCTCTAGGAGGTTATATGATTTTATCAAAGTGAGGCCAAGAATCAAAGATAACTAGTTGTGTAGGTTTGACTGTGCGTGCTATGATACAATGTCCAATGCTCCACTTAGATTATAACATCTCAACCCTAAGTATTGACTCACTGGGGATGCATTAACACTGCTACGATTGTGCCAAAGAATGATGGAGATCCCTTTGGCTCTTTTAAGAATGGTAAGACATGCACCTAAAAGCTAATAATCTTCCCTGGGTTGAGATGTTGTTTCCCCAGGTCTAAATGGATCATTGGCCTTTTTGTTGCAACACACTCGATCAGACCTGTGTGACCTGTTAGTTACTTCACTTCTTATCCTCACTTTGATTAAATTATATAACCTCCTGGAGAACGCATCACTCCTCCATTGAGGCGAAAGCCCTATTTCTTGATGCTGTTTGTTTATGGCTTGATCGTAGTAATTTTAGAGCACTACTTATTAAGTGATGCTTCCTTCTGAGTTGTGATGCTATAATAGCCTTAATAGAGCATTAGATCTCACGCTAAACAACATTTTCTGTCTTTTACACTTCATCAGACTTAAACTTTGACTTAAACTCTGATAATATCTCACATTTAATCTTAAGTACTCAATCCAATGCCATGAGCGTTGGTGGTGCACTATTACTAACAACTCTCACCCAACCGCCACTTTCTGTTTAAGCTTCAATTGCTTGTTGGATTGGTTGTCACTGATAATTGGCCCATAGCTTATGGGAAAGGGCAAGAAAAGATGGTTGTGTACTTGGAGAAAATAGTAAAATTTTGTTATCATTCTTAATTAAGATCTTCCTGTTTGATTCTCTAGTTGATGCTTCTTGTTCAAGTGGAATATATTTTGATTTAAGTTCATAAAATAATCTTGAACCCCACCATTACCATTTAAGGGAAGGCACACTGTTGAGAACAACCAATTTGGAGGAGCATAGATCCTGAAGCCTTTCCATCACGCAGAAAGTTAGGCTTTGGTTGCACTGCATGTAGCCTCTTTGTTCACCTTTGACTGTATTGAGATTTTCTAGCTGTACAAGCCACTTAAGTTTACGGAGTATCTATTGCCTGCAACATTAAATGAGGAGTGAACAGCAATGTGGATGCTATTGATCTTAGTCATTGTGGAGGCCCTCTCAAGCGGTTGACAATTCTGTGGGAGAACCACCGCCACCCTCCGAGCATAAGGCAAGTAGGAACGCCTTCTAATCTTGCTATGATTACCTATAGGTAAGTAGCCAATGAGCAGTTCTAGTCAGATAATGGAAGACATTAAAGAAGAAATGCTTATGGGACGAGGAGCAGAGATGTAGTTTGGTTGAGTAAAATAGAATATATGTGAGATTGATAATGCTGTAGTTGGTTGGGGAAGAAGAGATGGGAAAACCAGCCTTGGAGGAAGATGGCATACGTTTGGGCTGCTAGCTAACCAAAGGGAAGTTGGAGGGATAAAAGATGGGGAAGAAAGGGATGCCTGCTATGAGAATGAGAGAAGTGGAAACAGTCTAGAATTTCTCTCATTATATTCTTTAGAGAGAAAGAGTATCCACTGACTTGCCTGGACATGAAGGTTTGTTTGGAGTTGAATTATCAATGATAATTATTTTATCATCTTTCTTACTTATAATCTTCTTTTATCTGTATTTTTTCCTTTTTTCTTCGCATCTTTTGTCACATTATCTTACTTCTCTTGTTGCCTTTATTCTTCTGCCGAACATTTTTATTGTTGTTTCACAGAGATTTCACAAATCCATCACTACCTACTGAACAACATGGTCGATCATCACAAGTAAGTCATTAAGTCATTTCTATTCTCATCCTTTGTAGTTTAATTTATTCTTAAAGTTTGACCAGTTCTGTTGCTGATGGGTCAGCATGGCTTTGATTTTGCAGTTATTTTATTTACTTATTGAATAACAGTGGGGTGCTGGAGAACTTATTTGTTTATACTAATGACAGCTTGGCTATGGTGATGCTGGAGGCCTTTATGCACTTCATCCATCTGGAGGCAGGGCGGGTAACCATGTATTCTGGTTGTTTTTGCTGTTTCCAACATGTTTGTTTAACTTCTAATTGTATTTGTTTCTCCTTTGTTCCAGTTACGATGGCTCAGGTGGCTTTCGCAAACTGAAGTTCCTTTTTGCAAATTTGGTCTTTTATTTTATTGTAATAAATTAGCTCCATGGCCATTTCTGAGTCTCCTCCCTCGTCAGTTTACTTGAGATATTTCATCATTCCTATTAAGAGCTCCTTGTGGTTTAATGTTCTGACCTGCTTGCTTGTTACTTGTATTTTCTTTTATTTGTTTTCAAAGGCATCGTTTTGATTTTCTTGAAATGGTTATTTTTATGTTTAATAGATGAACAATGCTGCGGCAGTTGCAGCTGCATTTGGTGGTGGTCTGCCTCCCGGTATAAGTGGTAGTAATGACAGGTGTACCATACTTGTCTCTAACCTCAATCCAGATGTAAGTTCTATCCTCTTTATTAGGATTTCAATTTTCTGGGTTTGCCACTTAAGATCGTAACATTTAATCAATTTTTACTGTCCTTGACTATAGAAAGTTGACGAGGACAAACTTTTCAACTTGTTTTCCATGTATGGTAACATTGTAAGAATCAAATTACTTCACAACAAGCCAGATCATGCTCTTGTTGAGATGGGGGATGGTTTTCAAGCTGAATTGGCTGTGCACTTTCTGAAGGTTAGTTTAACATCCTCAACCGCAGCTTCTGCACTCATAGAGTTGGTCAGCTGCAAACATTTATTTATTTATTCATTTTTTATATATTTTGGGCTTTCTTCTGATTACTGTTTCCTTTTATGCTTTTAAGTAGGACTTAGTGTGAAGAAAAATTCTGTAAAGATTAGAATGAAACAAAACTTATACATGCATGACTTCTTATTTGTTATTGTTCGATAGTATAACACCATGTATTTATTTTGTTCGGATCTTATGACCAATGTTTTTATAGCTTTAGTGCAGTTCTTGTGTCCCTTTTCCTGCATGGTTGTTTATTTGGCACGAGTAATGCAAGCCACGTTGCCCATTCTTTTTTTTTTTAATTTGGGTGCAGGCTAATTTTTTCTGCCCTATGCAGGGACGGTTATTTGACATTTATTGTAAATCATTTCAATATGTTAGTGCTTTTTGGCTCGAATTGAGCTGAGCTAAGATTGAAGTCATAGATTTAACTGTAAGCCAGGCTTAGCTTGAATGATTATGTATCGAGTTTAGTTTGATCAAATTCATATTTAATATAGATGTATGCATCCATCTATGCGCATCTCTGTGTTGTAGGTCTGCATGCCAATACGCTGGGCAAGCATGTCTTAGATGATCAAAGTTAAAATTGGTTTTAGGTTAGTGATCGAGCTTCGTTCGAAATTAAAAAATCAAACTAATTTTACTAAAAATTAGATTGATTGAACTGATGTGCTCTTTCCCAATTTTAACCTAATGTTACATTCGGCTTTTTCTGCTGTAGTAATTGAACCATATACATTTCCTTGGTGCTTAAAAATTATTTGTCTGAAATGTAATCAAAGTTCTCATCCAACAGGCTTACTGCTTGAAAGATACATATGCCATTTGCTTTTCACCTGGGATTAACTTTCATGAAATTTAATTTTCAGCGGTTTCTTTTGTCTAAATTGTGAGAACCGTGGGTGCTTATGCTTTTTTTTTTTTCAATTCTATCTACTTTGTAGGGCGCAGTGTTATTTGGTAAAAGGCTTGAGGTGAACTACTCCAAGTACTCAAACATTACCCCAGCCCAGGATGCACATGATTATGTTGGATCAAACCTTAACCGCTTCAACCGCAATGCAGTGAAGAACTACCGTCACTGCTGTGCTCCAACTAAAATGATTCATATATCCACTCTTCCACAAGATATCAATGAGGATGAGCTCATCTCTCATGTGGAGGACCATGGCACCATTGTTGGCACAAAACTATTTGAGGTGAATGGAAAGAAGCAAGCGTTAGTCCTGTTTGAGGATGAAGAGCAAGCTACCGAGGCCCTCGTTTGCAAGCATGCAAGCAATATTGATGGCAACACCATCCGAATTTCTTTCTCCCAGTTGCATAGCATTTAGGAGATCCCCATTATGCTATCACTCTTGGAGGATATGTTGTATTTCTTCCAGTTGCATATGTTGTATTTTCACTGTTAACTCTTAAATATTGTAGGCATTATTTGCCTTTGCAATTGTTTCGGATTCGAGATTCTGTTGCAACTATGTAAGATTTGTTTGTATGAAGTTGTCCAGTTAGAATTGGTAGTTTAATGCTGACTATTTCTGTTTGTATTATAATCAGGTAAATTTGTCGTCTTAGGGTCTGGTTGGGCAGCTTTTGATTATTTATAATCTGATGATAAACATATTATTCTGATAATCTGTAGATTATTAGAATAAGCTTATTTGCTGTTTGGGGCAGCTTATTCAAAATAATTTATTGATAGTTGTTGATGTATAAATGACCTTTATGCCCTTGTTTGATAAAACTGTTTGCAACATAATTGAAATGAGAACAAAAACATATAATACAAAAGCTTGCAATCATCACAGATTAGTTCCAAAAGATGACATATAGTTCTCACACTTGTGAGTATCGAAAGAAATAAAAAAAAAAAGAAAAATATAATTATAGCTACAACGAGAAATATTAAAATATTCAATTTCAAATTATGACTGCCTGTCCTCAGCTGCACGGTCAACCTGGGAAATCATTGTATATCGATCACTGCTGTCAGTGTAACATGTTGGACATGGGCCCATCGAAATAAACCATAATGAGTTGAGACACCCTTGCGACAACCGTAGAACTCTCCCATTGTTGTGAGACTGACGTGACATGAGTAACGAAACAGATAGTCCGCAGTAAAACAAAACAACACACACACACACAAAAAAAAAAAAAGAAAGAACGACAACAATTGTTAGATCCTTTAAAAAAAATGCAGATGAAATAAACATATAGTGTACAAATAAATAAGACTTGGTAGATCAGCTGCCAAAGATAGCATCTGCGATGGACTTCCTCGAAGCAGTCATCTCAGCCACACCCTCAGCGTTATGAACCCCAAAATCATTAGAGTCAATCTCATCCTCATGTTCTAAAGACCCAACCACAAATTCTGATGGTTTTTCAAAGACATTCAGTTCATCATTATCAGTCATACTAAAGTCCGTATTTGTATGTAAAGGATGTCGTCGGATGAAGTTATGAAGTGTCATTGTTGCCACTACAATATGCATCTGCTTTTAAAATGGATACGACGACATATCACGTAAGATGACCCATTTCTTCTTTCAAATCCCAAACGTTCTTTCAATTACCATGCGTAAAGAGGAGTGACGTTTGTTAAATATTTTTTTCCAATCACGGATGGTGTCACTAGCTCGCTCAAAATCAAGAATATGGTATCTAGTATCTAGATATGGCTTGAGGTAGCCCATCTGCAAAGGATATCCAGTATCAACCAAATAGTATTTCCCTGTTATGGAAGACGCTGTTAATGACAAATAAAAAGATATAATTACTACGTTTACCAATCAAATCCTACTTGAAGGCGGGTGAGGAAAACACTGTGATCTATTCCTAGTTGCATAAGAGAAAATCCGACTGTCATGTGCACTCTTTTCCCAGCCTGCCATCACAAAAGTGAAACACATATTGAAGTCACATACTACCATGATATTTTGCGTTGTTGAGCCACTACGACCAATGTACCCCACCTTATCCTGACTGGGTAGTCGGACATCAACGTGAGTGCCATCAATTGCACCTATGTAGTTCTATTTCACGTGCCTTAGAAAATATTTATATTTTGGTGGTAACGTAAAGAAACTAATATTTACCTTGAAAAAAGGCATGTAACGGTGATCATTGGCAATTTGTGCTGGAGTACTAGCAAATGTTGGATCCTCTGGCTTAATGATTTGAACTGCCAAGTTAACAAGTGCCTGCATATCTTTGGAGAAGAACGACTTACTGTTTCTGATCAATGTTGAAATCTCTGATAGCACCTCTTATTGATTAGTTCTATGACAGAATGTATAATGTTATAGCAAACACCTCTTTTCTCGTCATTCAGGAAGAACCTTGAAGGCCTTGATTCAAAGATAACTCGTGCAGGAAATCCATAAAAATAGGTACGGTCATTCGAACTATGTTGTTGAACCTTATTGGATGTCCAGAAAACATCTCACATACCCATTTATCTATAACAAAGCTAAACGTCACATGGGGTATATGAAGACTGCAGGATCGGTAATACTCCAGATGAATGGTGGGCCCATACCATTCATCTGGACGTCACATGGGGTATACAAAGTCTTCGTATACTGCAGAAGGGAGTTAAGTGGGTTTATTAGAAAAAAAAATTATAAATCAAAATTAGAGTATAAATATTACCTCCAATTTCTTAGCCCACCATTTATCTGAGGCATCAATTGTCCGCTTAATGAGATTTCAACCCAAACTGGTAGATCCATGTTTGAGCTCTTTCCAAATTTTCCACTCATTTAATTAATCCCATTTATTTTTGTATTTGAGCCTGTCGTAATCCCTTCCTGTCAATTCCTTAAAACCTTTTGGCAATATTTTGCCAACCTTCCTTATTGAAATACATGGTTGACCTATTATCCATTTCAATTTATGTAATACAGAGATTTCAAAAAAATTGTCGTAACCTCCTTATCCCATATAACTGACGGACCACCTTCATTTGTCTTAGTCATGTTGGAACTATATGAAGAATTGCAGAAGCATAAAGAAGATCATATTCGAAGCTAACATGCATAAGAAAATGATTGAACAAGTAATTGCAGAAGCATAAAGATAATTATTTATCATGTCCAACTGAAGTACAAAAAGAGACATGCCACAGTTCCAAACCTATGAATACATGCCAAGAAATCTCTCCATTTACATGCTTAGAGAATGTCAATGGGAAAAGGAAGAGCATATGCAAATTTGAATGCAAGATCATATGCATAAAGCTAACAATTCACCATTTACAGGTCAACCAATACATATGAAAAGCAATATCATATGCAACAACTACAGCTCAATTCCAATCGAAGTACAGGTAAGTAAAAAACTGAAATATTAAGGAAACCAAACTTCTGCCATGTCTGCCAAGATGATAAGGTATACATTTTTTATCCATAAGAGAACAAATAGAAATTGTGATAAAAAGAAGATTAAAAATATAATAACAATTCACCATTTATGGGTTAACCAGTGTTGACCTCACTTTTGGTTGATGTTTAGTTTTCCTCTTTAGTAGTCGAGGGTCTAGCCATAGGACTTTCCTGTTGAATATTCCTAGAAAATAGAAAAGGAACCCTCACCATTAGAGATTCTACACTCCTCTTTGCTCAACTTGAAGTTTCACATATTGGTCACAAGCTCTAGCACTTAGTAGGTGGAGTCAATATAAGGAAGCTCAAGATGAGCCCCCATAAGACTGATGGACCTTAAGTTTGACTTTGGTTGTTAGTCTGGAGCTTGTTCACTCACTTACACTCACTCTCACCCATAATCACTCACAACCCTAAACCCAAAAATTCTTTACTTTGATCCCTTGATCTTTTGGGAGACTCATGTAGATGGTCCCCAAAACCCACTGACCCTAGGGTGGGGTTTAGCTAAGACCAGTACATAGAGGACCCAAATGAGGATTCCATTAGTCCATATTTCATGTATGGTGGTTGGTACCCCAATTCTACTAAAATAATCAACTTGGTCTTTTGCCCTAAATCCTCCCAAATTATCTGGATGCCCTTGGAGCCTCAAATTTGGTCAAAATCCTCAAATTCACCCAAAATATCCAAATTTGTTCAAAAATCATTTCAAACCATTTAAAGATACCCAAATTAGCCAAAACCACCCAAAAATGCCAAATTTACCAAAATACCCCCAAAACTGCCAAATTTACAAAAATACCCTTGGCACCCCAAACTTTCCCAAAGCCTCTAAAATCACTCCAAAGCTCTCCAAAACCAACAAAACCACTCAAAGGCTCCCCAAAACCAACTTGGACCCTTCAATTTAACCCAATTTAGCCAATTTGACCATTTTGACCAAAATCCCCAAATTGTCTTTAAAGACCCAATTTTCCTAAATTCACCTCAAATGTCCATCAACTTGAGCCCAATTTTCTTCAATTTTAATTCTAAAATTTAATAAACCTTTCATATGACCAATATAAACCAAATCCAAGCCTAATTTGCCTATGTTTTAAGCTCAATTTTGATCTAAGTCAAACCCCTAATTTTGGCCCTTTGACTTAATCCCACCAAATTGAATCTTATAGCCTACTCAATTTGCCCCATATTGAATCCTAAAATCTTCACAACATTCATGAACATCAAATTTGACCTCAATTGGCATTGTTAAAGCCTCAATTGCACTCAATTTTGACCCAAATCCAAAAATCCCCAAATTCCCCCCAAATTGGCCATGCCTCCAAATTCCAGCAAATTGATTGCCCTAACCCCAAAATTGACACCCAATTTATATTGAAAACTCTTCATGATGTTCCCATAGACCATTTTCAACAATAAATTTGGACTTAGCCCAAGCCTAGCCCAACCTAGACCCAAGTCTAGCCCAACATGCCCAAATTGACCAAAACCCCAAAATCCTTCAAATTGAACCCCCCAATTGAACTCAAAATCATTTCAAACATTCACAAGAAATCTTCATTACAATCATATACACAATGTTGATCAATCAGTTGGGAACAAAGTCATGGCTAGCCTAACCCAAACCCAACCTTTGTTCATTTGGACCCAAATTGAAACACCCATGCACCAAAATCGACCTAGCCATCTGAAAGCCACCAAATTGATGACTCCACAGCCACTAAGCACACTCCATGGACTAGGTTAAACCCCCTTGGACCAGCCATGGTGAGCTATGGACCATTGGATCCCTAAATTAAGGGATTCATGCCCATTTATGGGCCTTAACCAAAAATTTCCCCCATCATCACTTGCCATTGAGGGTTAAACATAATTAACCGTCCCACTGGCTTACCTAACCTCCTAGCCACCTCCCCTGGCCCTGTCGGCTGAGATAGTCGTCACAGCACCTCATAACCGAGGGCCACCATCCCTAAATCAAACCCAATCTCAACCCTAGGGGACAGCTTACCATAATTAAATTTAGAGCTTCTTAGCCCACCACCTCAGTACACTTTTGCACCCAAGGCCAGGCCCTGAGCTCCCCTCTCCGGCCATGGCTATAAAACCTCACCTCTACGGCCAACATAAGGGTGT